CAAAAAGTCCCGGGTTTAAGTTCCGGCCGATTTCACGGCTTCCCGGAGATAAATCCACTTGACTGATTATTTCATCTGTTTGAGTGTTGATTTCCAAACCCGTGAAGTAAGTCTACAAAGCACCCGACACATACTGGAAGAGCCAATAGGAGGTGATAATGATCATCATTCTATTGAGCATCCACTAGGTACCAGTGCTGTTCCAGGCACGGAGAGGATTTTCAAAACCTTTTGCTAAGTGGGTGTGCACTTTAGGGAAAGAAGGGCAAAAGAGAGAGAGAGCAAGAGAGGAAGAAGAATCAGAAAAAGAATTAGCACTCCCTTTTTTTTAACAGGACCTGCTTTCAAAACGACCCTAGAAAAGTCTTTTCACACACACATCCTAGAACTATTCACTTCCTGCATTTGCTTTCCCTCCATTTTTCTGCCACTGTTTTACCTGGATCTTCTTTCTCTGTGGTTTTTCGATCCCAAATCTCTAATCTAAGCTTCTGTTTTGTACTTAATTGGGAACGTATCTCATTCTCATTCTTCTCCCTGTTACAACCTCTGACTGAACGGGGGTTTTTTTTTTTTTTGGACTCCTTCCTTATCAATCATTCCCATTGCCATTTCCCTTGTATTTTGAAATATTCACAGTAGCACCTCATGTACGACTCCAATTACTGGTTCTACTTCTTTGTCTACTCTTGACCTCAGGCTCCAGCCCCCGCAGAGGTCAGGAAGAAGCCTCACAACCTTTCCTTGTGCAGAACATTGTCAATTTTTTAGACTCTTTCCAAGGATACTCCCATTTCCTGCTCCCTAACCTTCCCACAAGACCAGCCTTGCTCAGGAAGTGTTAACAGTTTCATTCTCCTGAAATATGACTTAGATCTTTCATCTCCCCCTGTCTTAGACCCCTTCCCCGAACATCAAATTTTATGTATGGATGGAAATCTCCATCAGTCTTTCCATTTAATTTCTCCTCTCTGCCCCAAGCAGGACGCTCCCCTTCCTGGTCCTCTGACTCCATTTGCTTTTTCTGCTTTTCATGTTCTGCTTCCTCACCCTGACCTCTCTGTCCTTCGACTCACTTCGCACTTGCTACCTGGGCCCCACGTCACTGTGACTCACACGCCCCACTCTTCTGGCCCCAAACAAAGCAGAAGTTAATGCTTTGTTTGATCAACTACAGTGATGGCTGGCTTACTATTCTTTCATCCCCTAATTGTTTTGAGTGTGCGTCTTACCTCTCCCACCAGACAGCATGCACATTCTAAGAAAAGGCGCTGTCTCAGAAGCTCAGATGCCTCTTAACTCCTCATAGAAGGTCAGGTCATTGATTGTAAGTTTTAACTCTGGCCATGCTCATTTACATTGGCTGGAACACAACAAAACATTTCGTGAACTTGGTTTGACAAGATCTCTGAGAGTAGACAGAGCTCTACCGCATACCTGTTTTACAAAGACTGAATTTGCTCATGGAGATATCGTGGACATCAGTGCACTTGATCGACCTGCTCCGTGGGTGATAACACTCTATTCTGTCATCCTGCTTACCACCAGAGAGATCATTCATTTTACAAATCCAGATAAGACTCCTTTCCCCAACTCCAAACTCACGTATCCAATTGTCTTCTCAACATCTCCATGTGATAACTCATTGACTTGTCCAAAACTGAGTTCTTGACATGTCACCTCCCCCTCAAAAGAAAAAAAATAAAACCTATTTCACCTGTGTCCCTGTCACCACTGGTGGCAAGTTCCATTGGCTCGTCTGAGAGTCTTGGAGTGATCGTGAACCTTCTTTTTCTCAAACCCCACGTCCAATCTCAGGAAATCCTGTTGATTCCACTTTAAAACATATCCACAGTTCAACCAACCCCCACCGCCTTCATTGTTCCCATCTTGGCTCACGCTGCCAGCATTTCTCAACTGGGTCACCGCAGCAGTGTCCTCCCCGGCCACCCTGCCACCATTCTTGCAAAACATGCTAGGTTATGTCACATCTCCTCTCAAAATGACTCAAGGGCCTCTAACCTCCCGCAGGGCGAAAGCCAAAGTCCTCCCAATGGCCTGCAAGACCCTGCATGAACTGAGACCTGTTACATTTCCAACCCCATCACCTGTTCCCGTTCTCTTCATTCCTCCCTGTCCTCATTCCTAAAATATGCCAGACAGAGTGCCCGTCGGGGCTTGTGCACAAGCTTCTCTGCTGTGCTCATGCAATGCTCATGGCCAGCTCCCGCCTCCCTCGGGTCCTCGTTCCCATGCTCACCACCGAGGCTGCCCGATGGCCCAACTCTAAATTGCAACTTGCCTCGCCATTCGCCATCTTTATTCTCCTCCCTTGCTCTATTTTCTTTCCCGAGCAGTCGTCACTACGGCAGCTGTGGGAATGTGCCTCTCCAACATCCAACCGCCAGAGCACAGTTGGCCACCTGTCCCAGCTGTTGACTGAAATTTGCCCCCTGTCAAGAGCCAGCCCCTTGGGGTCTGCTCCCAGCCAACAGCCAGAACGCTAAGGCAGGCTCCGTCCTGGGAGACGCGGGGCCTCGCTGGCGGCCGACTGGGACCCTAAGGCGCCCTATAACACTGGCAGTCTTCCTTAGACGGCATTGCTGACAACGCTGTTTTTCCCCAGCGGTGCCTCCCTCGCTCCTCCTCTCGGATCAGACCGGCACCAGCGTCTGATCACTCCCCCACACGTCCCAGCTCCAACCTTTCCCCCTGGCCCCCCATTTTCTCTCATAGGGTCGTTCTACTAATAAAATCCAACACGGTTAACCCACCTGGGCATCTGTTTCTTAGAGGACTCAGACTAACATAACCATCTTCTCACTTCCTACATTTTGCTTGCTTATGCTATGTAGCTTGCCTTGTCTACGGAAATAGAACTTCCGGCAGGGCAGCAATGTTGTTTGTCCATGAACCCCAAACACCTAACACAGGAACATCTGACACATCCCATGTGCTCATTAAATGCATGCAGAACACATGAACAACAAATGCTTGAACATAATAGCGATTATTAATAAATCAATGAATAAGCACATGACGATACCAATCAGTTGTCCCAACTCTGCTCTCTCTGAAATTCCCTGATATTCTTATGTTGTTTAATCCTCCCCCTCCACACTAGAAAACCCTTGGGTTTTCCCACAGCAGAAGTGAGGTTGGAGAGGGAAATTGCTTTTAGGAAAAGATCCAGACTAATAACTGGATGAAGGCCTGACTGTTCTGGGCAGCAACCGAACGATTCCGACGGAGCTATTTATCACTACTGCTCTCCTGGCTTATTTGCAGCTAGAATCGGCAGATAAACAAAATCAAAAAGTTTTGAAGGTTTGAGTTTTGTTTTAAGCTGAAATGCCCACGCAATACTAATCATATTGCCCCACACCAAACCATTCTCCTCTTCTCTGGTCCCCCAAATTCTCCCGAGGACGCTGGAGCAAACTGCTCTTAGGTGGGGTCTCAGACTCGAAACTGGTAGGTTCCCCTCAGGAGGCATGGCTGGCGGACTCCAAGTGACAATAGGCAGAGGTCTTTTCCCACAAGAGCCATCGAGTGTATCTGGAGGAGACCCTCTCAGGGTTCTGCCCGAGGGTGTTGACCCCGCTATCAGTGTTCTGGGAACCGCGTGGAGGAGATGGCCAAGAGGCCCCGGTCTCTCACAAACACCCATCTAACCCTTTGGCCCATTCTCCTTGCCCTGCTCCCTCCAGCAGGCCCGTGGAATGGCTACTGTAACATCAGACAGTCGAGTTCCCACCCTGGCAGTGCTTCTAATCAGCTCTGTGAAATGACCTCTCTGAGCCTCCGTCTCATCACTTTTAAAGCGGGGCCCATGGCATCTACCTCCCAGCACCTGTGTGATGGACAGGATGTAAAGCCTTCGCCGACAGAGAGAACTCAGCAGATAGCAGCTATTGGTACCACTGGTATCAGCAGTGGAAGGAAATGAAACTGCGTGTCTGATGTTAAGTTTGACCCTTCAACCTCTCCAGCTGACTGTTGCTATGAAGGCATCCAAATACCTGACAACGAAGATGAAGGCGATGAGGCCGGACTGCTTGGAGACTGACTCAGAGAGATGTAGGGAGAAGAAATCAGAGTCCGGTGTAAAACTTCCCAGCCTCTGCTTTGCTCTAAAAGTTTCACTGGGCTTGACTTTTTAAGAAAGATTTTATTCATTTTTAGAGAGAAGGGAAAGGAAGGAGAAAGAGAAGGAGAGAAACATCAATCACAAGCCCCTAACCAGGGATGGACGCAACCCAGGCACCTGCCCTGACTGATTCGATTAGGGACCCCTGGGTTCGCAGGCCCAAGCTCAATCCACTGAACCACGCCAGCCAGGGCGACTTCTTTTCTCTAAAGGGCAGAGGAGTAGCCGGCTGCCTGAGCTACAGAATGTCTCAACACACAATCAAAGGCTCACCCTTTCCCTCGGGTAACCTGGGAGGTCAAAATGGGCACCTTCCGAAAGCCAAGTATCATTCCTGAACACTGTCCAAGAAAGCACTGAGTTCCACAGAGACGCAAGAACTCACAGAGGGTGGTTCTTGACGTTGGCGCCTCACGGAACACTGCGTGGGCAGCGGGGTGGGGGAGGGGGAGGCCAAGACCCTCACCCAGCCACCTTAGCTCCTCCGGTCTCTCCTTGAGGCAAAGCTGCCCAAGTCTGACATAAGCTCCTGCAGTGGGAGGGGGCGGGAAGGGGGCAGCTGGCGGGCATTGCCCACCGCAGTAAGTTCTAGAGAAACTCTGGGGTGTGCTACTATTAACGATGGCCCGTCAGAGGAAGGGGGCCGCTGCGGAGGCCCGGCGTCCTTGCGGAGCCCGGAGGAGCAGAGACAAGTGAAGTGTTGCAAACACACGCAGACCCCTCGACAGAGGCTGCGGAAGCCCCCGGCGCTGCGCTCGCTGGGCAACCCCCACCCCCGGAAAACAATGACCTGGGCAAGGAACAGTTAATGAGCAATGCGCTGCGCTCCCTGTGCACGTTACAACAAAGAGCTGTTGGCTCCCAGGGGGAAAGGGCTGGTGTGCTGCCGTTCAAACTTGTCAGTCAGCTGGTGCCAGCAGCCCGGCGTGGCCGCCCCGCGCGCTCTCGGAGCCTGTGTCAGTCCGCCCGGCTCTGCGCGTCTGCTCCGAGGCGCAGCGGCCCGGCCGGAGGTGGCGGCGGCGGCTTCTCTCGGCCGGCGGGGCTCCCGGAGCGCGCGGCTCCGGCCTCTGCGTCGCCCCCGCGCCTCTCCCCACCGAGGCCCCTGATTTATGGTCGCTCGCTCGGGACTGCCCTCCCCGGCTGCCTGCCCCCGCCTGCCAGAATGGCAGAGGCCGATCTGCTCAAGGAGAGACTCCAGGCCATCACGGTGAGTGCGCGCACCGCTGGGACTCGCCGACTCGCCGCCGCCCCGAGGGTGGGCGCAGCACGCTCGGGGCTGTCACCCTCGCCGACGCGTCCCTGCCGCTCCCCTCGCCCTGGCGACCCTCTCTCGCGCCCCCCACCCCCGGGCTCCCTAATCAGCTCAGAGTAAGCGATCTTGATTTCTGCACAAGCTGTTGCCTACGTTTTCAACACCCATGGGAAGCTTTTAAGGCAGTTTCGTTGATCTTCCAGGTGCTTTAGAAACGAACTTTTTCCTTAAATTTATGTTTCCTAGACCTTAGCTCAAAAGACAGATCCCTGGTAACTCGGGAACTTTTTTAAGATAATACTCTCAAAAGTTAAGATCTTTTAAAAAGGGGAGCGAAAAGAAAGGGGGGAAAAACCAACTGGAAACTTTTTATCTGTAGTGCGGTGGTAGGTTCCTGAAAGCCTAACAAGATGAAAATGCATGTTGAGCCGCGCACAGCGTAAAAGGAGAGAAAAGCGAGGGAGCGCACGTATCAGATGAGTTCTCCGGTATCGTTTTGAGCGGACTCACCAACTGAGTAAGACCCTGGTGGAGGAAGGCAGGGCATGCAGTCCGCGGGATTTGGAAACGATTCCACTAATACCGGGAAGGAAAATAATGCATTTTTTAATATTTGTTCTGGGAAAGAGTCAAGGCAAGAAATGAATTACTTTCCTTAAATGACCCAGCTTTTTAAACGTAATTTTATTAAATCCTCTGCTTGGCAGGAACCGACATATCTGTGGCACAGTCGTTTATCATGAGCTACGACTTCTGAGGTCATTTTCTTAAGGGGAGAAACTTTGGAAGTCCACATCCCAATTTCTCAGCACTTTCTGCCCCCTGACATTAGCTGCCAGAAAGCAAATGAGTGCTTTTTAAAAAACTGGTGCCAAGTCAGAGTAGGTAAGGAGATTTTTTTTTTCTTTGCTCTTCAAACTCTCATGGCGTAAGTAATCCCAATTCAGGATTTTGATTAAATGGATACAGTGTCTCGGCTGCACCCAGATAGGACTCAGGGAGTGGAAATACTTTCTCAGCCGGGAGTAAAGAACCAGAAGACCACGGCTGGCACTTTTCTGGAAGACAGAGCTGGTGAAACATCTACCTTCCCACCGGCACCCTCTCCTTGTCCAGAGCATGCTGGCTTGGAGCGTCGCTTGTTGTGGTTCGTTCTGTTTGGTTGTTAAACTTGGCCATGGGTTCAGCTGTCCTGCTTTGAGGGACAGGAACTCGGCCCTGCTCTGTTGGTTTTGGCTGTGGCCTTCAGCTTGACAGCTGCTGTGTAAAGGTCACTGTGTTAGGCTGTGTGAGTTGTGTGGGCACAGGTTCCGCTTGCTTCTTGAGCTTCTGTCCCCTAATTAATGGCGTATCCTATGAAACACACAAGTAGCTCCTTGTTCCCCATCTTTTTAAAAACTGGAGCCCCCTTTCTGGAAGCCCTTGCTTTCTCTGGCACACCTTGCAGCTCTTGCCAAAGCAGTGTGCAGGGTTCTACAGGCGGGACTAGCTACCAGCGCGCGGGGGCCTCATCACTGGGGGCCCCGAGTACAGATGGAACCAGAACAAGACTCCCCCGTGCCCTCCAAGCAGGCCAGAGAACTCTGGCGTGTGCTTTTGGGGGTGATGTTTTAAAATAGGACTTTGGGGGCTATTCTACTCACCCCAAGCTATCCCACGAGGAAGAATTAAGCAAATCTCCGAAGTAAGACCATGAAGTAATTCTGTCTTGGAAGTCCTATGTTTGTATAAAGGTCATAGGGAAAAACTGGGGAAAGTGTATGGGAACAAATTTCCACCAGCTTAGTGCATGCAGTCACCAGGCTAAGTCCAGTCACATGTGTCACCACCTAGAGGAAAACTGGAGCGGTGCTGTGTCCATGGGAATAACACATGCACCCGCCTCCCCACTGGACGCCCTGGAAATGCCAGCTCTGCGTCCCCCTGCCTTACCCAGGAAGCTCCTCGGCTGTCCCCCCGCCCAGGGACAAACATACACACAGTGTCCAGTCTGCAGGGGTCATTTCACTCTCGGAAGGACTTAAAATCTTCAGAATCTCTGGCCCGGGGACCATCTCCTCATTTTAACTCCTTTCCTCCTATTTCCCTACACGAAAACAATGTTTGTGTATACACTTCAAGAACAAAATCATAAGATAATTGCTCAGTGTTTCCAAATGCAGCGACCCCCAGACGTCAGTTTGTTATGGGGGGAAAATAACCTTTTACCCTGTAGCACCTATTTGATTTTTATATTCAAATGTGTTCTTCCAATCCCTGGCTGTGAAACAAAATAATCTCCACCATTGAATTCATTCCACCTGGTTTGGAGTCTCCAGAAAGTCATTGTTTCCCCTGCAAGGGATTGGAAACACAAATGCACGTGCCTAGAACTTGACAAAACCAAGGAGCCGTCTTCTTTAAAAAAAAAAAAAGGATTAAACACAGTCACTAGATGGAATGTGTCACTTAGACTCTCAAACCAAACCCCCAATTCCTGGGATGGTAAACTGGATTGTAGGTTAGTCCGTGGTCTTCTCGAAGGGGACCGGGCAAGCTCAGGAAGGTCCCTGGGGGCAATCACTCGGAAGGAAGGGCTTCAGCTTGGGTGTGCGAACACCGGTCCTCTTTCTCATGCCCATTCGCGTGTTCCCCCTTTACGACTTTATCTGTGACCAGTGCTCTCCGCCTAAATTAATAGTCGAAGGATCTCTGAGCCTGAGAGTTCAGTTTCCAACTGCAACTGCTTCAAGCTGCTGAAATAGGACTTTGATTAGAAAGTCTTTCCAGGCTTTTTCCAGGTCACTATGTAGTTGAACAAATAGCTGATTTGTATACAAAAGGAGAGCTGACAAGGGAGATGGGTGATTTGAAATTGGCTTTATAGTGCTGGAACCGGTGATGCCGACGCCTGCTGTATTCTCGGGAGCAGTGTGTGGAAGGGCTGGCCGCGTTAGCCGAGGATTCCTGCCCGAAAGCACACGCCGCCCCCGCCGAAGAACAGGGAGGAGACCCAGGTGAATTCCCCTGAGATATAAAAGGTGCCGTAAGGATGAGTCATATCCCAGGCGCTCTGGACATCCTCCAGTGCCAGGAACATGCTTCCTTATCTCCATTCCTTCTGTGCTAGAAAACACGGTTACTCAATCACATGGGAAGACTCGAACCGGAAACCCCCTGGATCTGAAGCTGGCTCGCCTCTCAAAACTGGTACGCCTGGGGATCTGAGATCAGAAGAATCCTGATCACTTGAATGAATTTTCAGAAAACAAACCAGCTGGGGAGGGAAGGGGTAAGAATCTAGTCGGCCCTGTAATTCTCATCAAGGCTTTACCTTCAACTGGCAGGGTGTGCGTTAGCAAGTCATTCTCTCGTTCCTGTATTCAATGAATGGGTATTGAGCAGCTGCTATGCCCAAGCCTCACGCATTTAAATGAGAAGAATGGAATAAGGGGAATCGAGAGCGTCAGGGGAGGGTGGGAGGGGGTGTGACCTGCAGTAGAGTGTCCAGGACTCACCTCAAGGAGAGAGGGTGACGCCCAAGCGTGAGTGTGAAGGAGGAGAGCCCTGTCAAAACTCAGAGAATCGTAATAATCTCGGTAATCACAAGAGCGAGCACCTGCCCAGGACCGACGCCACTGGAAGGCAGCCACAGAAAGTCCCGAGGCTGGAATTTGAGCAACGGAGCCAGATTTGCCGGCCAAAGCCACACGTGACGCAAAGTAAGAAGGAGCTCACATTTCCCGGATCCGCTCCCTACTTCTTTCCTCTCCCAAAGAAGAAAGAATTTGTTCTGGAGCTTAGGAGGCAGAAAGGTTTTACGAAAAACAGAAACCTACCCGGTACAAAGTCCAACATTAAAACACTAACATGAAGCAGGTTCAAGGTGTCCCTTCAGCCCGCAGGGCCTTGTCACTGGTCACTCAGCTCTCACTTCATTTCCAGTGTGTCCATATCTGGAATCTTTTAACAGGTCCTAAGACAGTGGACAACCTCAAAATAGGAACTGCAACCTCACTCAGGGGGCCCAGGACACAGAAAACGTGGGGACCCTTGCTCGAGACGCATTCAGAATTTCCAAATAGGAGCAGCAGGGCTTTAAACTAAATGCTGGGCCCCTCTGAGTATGGAGCCATGGAGGCCGCCTCCGGTCCCAGGCCGGGGCAGCTGGCCCTCCTTGCATTTCCCAGGCTGGCCACCTATGTCTTCCCCTATTCCTTCTGCCTGTACCAGCGAGAGAGCAAAAACAGGAGTGAGCCCACCTGGCTCTTGAGTAGAGGTAGACACCAGCGTGCGCTAAGGTCATTGCATCACTGAGTGTTACGAGGACTTCTTAAAGGAACAGCATCGTGCCCCTCGGGTCCAGCACACCTCGCGGTTAAGACAAAGGTACAGGAGGAACTCCCAGTCTGCCACCAACATCTAATGACACCCACACACAGAGATGGTACAAGGAGCTGAACGAGTCTCCTGAAGAGGCAAGTCCTGGGCCAGACTATCTGAACGATGCAGCCCCCCCCCCCACAGGTTTCCACGGCGCTGCCCTGGGATGGCACGTTCCCTCCAGCGGAGGAAAGGCTCCTTCGAACTAATGTGCGGCCGCATCGCTGCCAAGTATAATAGCCCACCCACGAAGCCGACCACGTGAGGAGGCGGAATAATGGTGATAGCTCATTAAGGACACTGCTTCTGGGAAACAGACCACGGTTTTTCCAGTGTGCTGCAGAATGATAACGCTGCCCCAAAGAGCCCTGTACTGACGAGGGTCCCTGTGATCTTTCCGAACTCGACTGAGGGTCAGAGGAAGAGCCGTCCCTGTAGAAAACTCGGGTGGAAACGCGTTGATCTGAGCGCCGGAGTCTAGCGAGTGTCCGATCGCATGGAGCCTTGTTCGGTGCTCACATGCCTGGTCTCCAGATTCAAAGGATATAGCCAATCCTACAATAAACTACAAATAACTTATTTCTAGTAAGAAT